GTGATAAAATCCAGCAGAACACAGCAGGAGTGTATGTCCTAGTGCTCACCTGTTGACAGGCATAGCAGCAGGGAGACTGGCATTGGCACCCCATAAAGTAGGGAACAAATGGCCCTCTAGATTTGACTGTAACTCTGACCATCTCCACCCCAAAACAGACTAAGTTAACTAGGGCTGGTGGGAACTGTAAGATAACATCTACTCTGTCACCATTTCCTAGATGCTACTAGACTTTTCACCCCCACCAGGTATGCAGATTTACAGAGAAAATTGGCAAAGTGAAATCAGGAACAAGCAGAGCTTTTGATTTAGTTGTGCTCAGTTCACCCAACAGGTTTCTTCTTCAAAATAGCATCCAATTAGAAAAATAATGTTCAAAATAACTTCTCTAAGCCATTTTAAAAAATAATAACTCAAGTCTGCCTATAAAATGAATGAAGTTGTCACACAACATAGACTATAGGTTTTCACAATACAACTTTTGCCCAAATACCAAACTAGAAAATACATTCTAGTACTCTCTTTAGAAATTCAACACACTGCTTTCATAGGTTAATAGATTAAAATAGGTCTACAACGAACACACTTTTAAAAAGAAAATATGGCAAGCACAAGACTGCCCTTTAGGTAGAACAAAGGCTGAAAATATGGCCTTACCTGGCAAATGATATCTCTGTTGGTGACACGTACAATCATCCTATACTTAGGGGTATTGTACTTGTTTTTATCTTGAATCACCAAACGCTTACGAGCATAGTAATCAGTCTTTCCCTCTGAAAGGAACACATCAGAACATATTCAGAAACAGAAGGGTCAAACTCTCACCTATTTAATTCACTGAAAGCCTGTGAAAAAGTAAAACATACCTCTCCTTCTTCTAAACTTGACCTGATACCTCTTGAAGTAGGCCTTATTCTTGACAACTTTAACGAACCCCTTAAACAAAACACAAAAACATTAATGTCAAAAGATTTGCAATCTTTGCCAGGAAGAACTATGATACAAAAAATGTAGAAGTGTACAAGTGTGAAGACAAGAGTTGTTTGGAAAGCTCTCAATCATTTATTTGAACACATGGCCTAAAATGCAAACTTATACAATTTATTTTCATCCTTTTCTGCCATGATGAAAACCAGCAGCACTGAATGATAAAAGGAAAACAAATCTTCCAAGTTACTACTTCTAACAACACATTTTACAAGTCTTCTAATTAGATGTTTTTGAGGAATCTGTGTGTAGTTACTCTGTTGCTTCACAGTAGCTCACCAATGTAAATATAAATCTTTTTTGCAATACAGTAACCAGACTGGATCCCCAAATGTGACTGCAGCCAAAATAAAGAAACTACAATCAATACTAAAGGTTAAAGATCAAACAGATTTAGCCTGATCATCCTGAAGGAGAACTGACATCTTTTATTACTGTTTTCCACACTTTGAACCACGTTCAGTCCTAGTGATGAAGAATGACTGGCAGTCTGGCACTACCTGACAAACCGCATGTTCCACACTCCTCCTGTCAGTTACAATGACAAGTCCCAACTCTGCCAGTGCAGACAGACCTGACATCAAACCAGATCAAATCCTGACTTCCTAATAATGATCTACACATAGCAGGTTTGTTTTAAAATATAGACCTCTAGCTGGCTGTTGATTTGATATATTTCTAGGTGAATGCTGACACCCCCACAGGTGTAAATCTAAAGGCAATATATAAGGCAGCCCGGAAACGTCTCGAAGTAGCACATGCTACAAAGAAGCCATCGCATACCGGGTGAGACACATCAGGCTGGCACGTTTTCACTAAAGAAGCAGGAAACGAAAAGGACTGCCCTGAGCGAGGCACGCCACTGGGGCCTCTGCTACCGAACTCTCTGCAAGGCCTTCCTCACCACGCGAAGCTGATCCGCCCTTCCTTTCCTCCCTCTCGTGCAACCATGGCAATCCCTGCCCATGCGCCGGGCCCGAGAGCCTGCACCCCGGAGGAAGCCATTCACACGTTCAAAACCCGTGTTCTCCACCCGATTCCTGCCACACGCACTAAAAGGATCATGAAAACGCGGCGCCCTCCGGGGAAAGAGGAAGAGGGGCCGCGAGGGAGCCCAGAAAGGGGGCGAAGTTATTAGGCACGAACCCGGGGAAAGACAAGGGGTGTGTGTAGGGGGGGGTACCTCCACAGCCCGAACCGGGGAGACGTGTTGGGATTGACGGGGAGAAGGCGCCCGAGTAGCCCCAACCGCCGCCCCCGAACGAGCCACGGCTTGGAAGCCACGGAGGCGGCCATTCGGCCACGCTGGAACCTGCTTCCGCAGCCGAGGCCGCCGCTTCTAAATCCGGAGCCATCCGGCCGCTCGGAGGCCAGCAAGGAGGCAGCCGGGGCTCAGGCTAGCAAAACCGGTCCCTCCCTTCCCACACGGGTCCGTTTGGGGCCGGTACTGACCATGGTTCTTGAATCTGTCCCCTTTCGCTTTAGGCCGAGGGCCGCTCAGCGAAACGCCCGCACCTCAGAACGCTGGGGGAAAAGGCCGAGGTCAGCGCGCATGCGCAGCACGTAACCCGGATGACGAGGCCGAGCCACTCGCAGCAAGAGGATACCGGTGGGAAGCTATACTGCCCTCTGGAGTCCCGGAGGGTTGCGCCTTGCCCGGCCCTCCTCTTTCTGCGCCACTTGCGTCACTTCGGTCTCCTCGGGGGTTCGCGTCTGTTGCGCGTAGCTGCTGTTGTGGCAACGCGGGGCTCCGCGGAAAATCAGCTGCCGCCGCCCAGTGACGTCTCCTTGTCCAGACCCTTTCATTCAAACTCGTTATTAGCTTACACGACAGATAATAATGCCGTTAATATGTTCTTTATGCGGGTTTACTGTTTCTGACCAGGGAAAGTGATACATAATTTCTTCAGAACTGAAATCAAAGAAGTCATAATAACCTTCAAGGGAGCAGGAAAGAGGAGAAGACGAAAAGGGGCTGAGCATGTTGTTGTTGCTGGGTTCTGTCAAGTCAGCTCCTACCTCTGGCAACTCCTACTTATTATGAATGAGCGACATCCTAAAAGTTCTGTCCTCAACAGCTCTTGTAAACTCAAAAGATAGGGCTCCCTTTGGGGAGTCAGTTGATCTCATATTTGGCCTTCCTCTTTTCCTGCTGCTTTCCACCTTTCCCAGCATTATTGTCTTTTCCAGAGAATCTTGCCTTCCCATGATTTGCCCAAAGGAGGACAATCTCAGTTTCATCATTTTAAGGCTTTAATCCCCAGATCACACTTACCTGTGCAAAATGTCTCACAGCTGCATGCAAGATACATAAAGATGTAACGGATGATGATTTTAAGCTACAATTTTTCTTTAATTCTTTTTTTTCTGTTTGTGCTGTGACTGATTTATAAATGTAATCTGTATTATGTTTAATGCTTTTTGCTGGTCACGGACCACAATAATAAAAAACTGAACTGAACTGAACTGTTGTGTAGCATTGGAATTTGCTTTCACTTCTGCACATATTAACCATTAGAATCCTTTCAGCTTTAATCTAATTACATCATTAGTGACAGCACTATTTGTACTTCTCCTTTGCTTTTCCCCACTAGCTGAGTGCTTTCCAACCTGGACGTCTCATCTTCCAGCACTATCATTTAATTTTGGACTATCTCATAATAGGCTTAGCAGTGCTTTACCATTGCCTCCTTCTGCACAGTACAAAAGAAGCTTTAGTGTCACTGCCATTGTCTGTGAAAGATCCTCTGCCAGTGTCACTTTCAGGTACCACTACTGCCGAGTAGCTGCTCTCCAGGCGTTTCTCCGCCCACATCACCATTGAAATTACCTATTTTCTTTTGCTGATGTGCCAGTTACCCTTTAAGAGGGATGGTGCACCTTAGTCCTGGGCTTCAGCTGTGAAGACTGTGCCTTGGGTGACCCTGGTAGGGGTCCAGGTTTGTAATGGAGTTGAGCCTCACAGCGTCATTGCTCTTGGATTGTCTGACACACACAAATCTATTCACAACACTCAGGTGTGCATCAAAGAAGAGAGGAATGAAAATAGTTGAGCAATTGTTGCAATGATGTGAACCCACCTATGTCTGTAGGTGGTTATTAGCAGCACACTTTTGAATGGAAGCGGTCTAATTAAATGTGGAATATTTAACTTGGAACTACAACTACCAGATAACATGGCAATGCAGGCTGAGGTTTTCTGAGTGAAAATTGGTAACATTTCTGTCTCTGATGGGGATAAAGTAAAATTAGTGTTTAGACTTATGAGTAATTGAGATCTGTGCATTCTGGTCCCTTGAGTTATTGGGTGATCCTGGGCCCACCACTCTCCCTTAGCCTGCTGTACCTCACACGACTATTAAGAGTGGAAAAAGGAAAGCTCCTTGGAAGAAAAGTGAAATCAGACAACTTGGAAATGTGACTTTTTTGGAATAGAAATTCCCCAGCTAGATGCTCATCTTTATTTCCAAGTGCACACCTTTATATAATCAAATAAATTAATAATGCTAGCATATAGGAAAGGATGAACCCTTAGACACCCATTCAGAATATACAATACTAGCTTAGATGGGTCAAAATATAGCCTAGTATAAAGCTTACATCCTTACACCCCATGTTCTGAGCATTAACCAAATTCCAGAGTAACTAAAATATGTTGTTGTCCCAGATACCTTCATTTGTCCTTTTTGCTGGAGTTATAAAGCTAAAAGCCCATGATTCCTGCAAGATCCATGCTGGTACAATGCCTTCTAGTCCAGTCCAGTCCAATTACTTACTCCTAGTATGTTTAAAGCAACCTGAAAAGCAGGAATGAGGCAGGTGACGTCCCATAGCAATGGCACAACACTGCGATTCATCACAATGCCCCCATCCTATGGTAGTACAGCATACCCAATAAGCACTATGTCACAAAGATTGCACTGTACCTCAACCAATCGTGGAATTCTACCTCAACATCATGCTGGCTTTCCATCCTCATGATCCACCTGTACTGAACTTTACCGGTCATATCACATCGATATTATAACAAGTTTGTGTGGGGTGGGGACCACCAGCCCATGGGCCTAATACATACTGCAGTAGGTCAGAATTCAATGATGAAGGCTCCAGGTGCCTCCCCACCACCACTCTGAAAGAGTGGTGGTGAGGAGGGACCTGGAGCAAGGTTGGGTAGGCCAGAACCTCCCCAGCCTTGCCAAGAAATTACCACACAGGAGGAGGAGGAGGAGTTGTCATGGAGGGAGTGATGGACTGAGACTCAAGAGATTGTGATCAAATCTCAAATATCCCATTCTTGGGTAAGTGTGACAGAGTTCATTACAAGTGTGTGTCAGTTCCTTCTTCTTGGCGGACATAAACATAGGTGTATCTTTCCTAATAAAACCTTTATTAACTGAACTAACAGGAGTATCTCTAACTACTTCAGTAGGGCCAACAGGGCTAATGTCCACAGGTAACTCTGTCCATAAAAAGGACAAACCATAAAAAGAATCTTCTTTATTTACTCGCAAGATGGTCCGAACCTCTCTTGATCTGTGGGTTTCCTCAGAGAGCCACTCCTTATTGCACATATAGTCCGCCAACATGGGTGGTGAGCCAATCCCCTTCTGGTGGCTTGTGGTTCGGCAACATAGGTTTCTGTTGAATGACCTTCCTCCAGCGACCTCGACCTCGGAGATAAACTAAAACTTTCCATTCTTCTGGACCTAACTCCTCCAGATGTGTTCTTACTTCTTGCCCGCTCTTTCCCTTTCCAGCTGTTCTTTGTAATTCCTCCCTCACATTCCCTTTCTCAGGTATTTTGAACACTCGTGGCTCTCCTGCCTCTTTCTTCTCCTCTTCCCAAACTACCACCTTTCTCGTCTCTCCCATCTTTTCCCTCTCCTCTGTTGTGAGGAAAACATCCACTCTCCTTCACTCCCCCTTTAGCTCCTCCCCTTTTCCTTCCACATCTAGACCTTTCACTTCTTCTGTCACTTACATATATATATATATCCCACCCATCTGATCAATTGACCACTCTGGGTGACTAACAACACTTAAAATAAAACAATTTAAATATAACATCAATATATGACATCAACAATTGTTCAAAATGGAAAGAAAAAAGAAAAAACATAAATCAAATGGTAGCTGGAGGGAAGGCCTGCTTAAATAGCCAAGTTTTCAGTTGGCTTTTGAAAATGCCCAGCGAAGGGGCCATGCAGAATTCAGGAGGGAGTTTATTCCAAAGGCGAGGAGCCACTGCTGAGAAGGCCCGGTTTCTTGTTTTTTCCTTCCGGGCCTCCCTCAGAATTAAGCTCCTCAACTTCTACCACACCACTGCTGCTGTCTTAAGCTTTAGACATGTGAGGGGACGGCTCACTCTCCTCTTTCTCTGTAATTGTGTTCTCCATCTCACAGTAAGGCTATCAAGCACATGGTGATTTCTCATCTACAAGGGGTCTTGGATGAAATGAATTCTTTAGATCCATTGCAATCAGGTTTCAGGCCTAGATGTAGAGAGATAGTTCTGGATGACTTGAGGACAATCTGTCCTGGCAACTGGACAAGAATGTGGGTCTTTGTTGGTTCTGCTGGACTTCTCAGCACTTTTTGATACCACCAACTATGGTACCCTTTTCTGAATCCTTCATCAGGGATGGGATTGCATTGTTTCAGAATGGCACCCATCCTTCCTATAAGGAGGCGTTCAGAAGGATGGGATTGCATTGTTTCAGAATGGCACCAGTCCTTCCTGTAAGGAGGCGTTCAGAAGTCAGTGTGGGAGGACTCCTGCCCTGGTCTCTTATGGTTCAATCCCCCACCCCCATTTTTTAATGTACACAGAGAGCCACTCTGAGAGATGATCCAGAGCTTTTGCTTCAGAGCCAACAATATGTAGATAAAAATCAAGCTCTCTTCTCTGTTCCATCCAATTTCAGGAAAACTTTGGTGGTCCTGAACTTGGCCTGATGAGGATGAACAAAGTGAAACTTAATGCAATTAGACAGAGGTGCTTCTGGTCAGTTGAAAGGTAGATCAGGGAAAAGGGGTGCAGCCTATACTGGACAGAGCTCCAGGTTTACAGCTTGGATGCAGGTCATTCCCAAACCTGGATGTTGGGGTCTCATGCAATTAAGACAGAGGTGCTTCTGGTCAGTTGAAACGTAGATAAGGGGAAAGGGGTGCAGCCGGTACTGGACAGAGCTCCAGGTTTGCAGCTTGGATGCGGGTCATTCCCAAACCTGGATGTTGGGGTCACAGGAGTGGCCAGGGGTGTGGTTATACAGTTAAGTGTAGTGTGCCAGCCACGTCTGTTCCTTGAGAGGTCAGATCTGAGACAGAGGTGCTTCTGGTCAGTTGAAACGTAGATAAGGGGAAAGGGGTGCAGCCGGTACTGGACAGAGCTCCAGGTTTGCAGCTTGGATGCGGGTCATTCCCAAACCTGGATGTTGGGGTCACAGGAGTGGCCAGGGGTGTGGTTATACAGTTAAGTGTAGTGTGCCAGCCACGTCTGTTCCTTGAGAGGTCAGATCTGGCCATGTTAAGACTGCCAGATTGGACAAAGGAGCAACAGGGAAAACCTACAAGCAAGACATGCCGATGCTCACCAAGTGGTGGTGGGACTGTCAAAGTTTGGTATTTTATATAAAGAAAATATTAAAGTTATAAGAAATATACCCCTGGAAATGTGAAATACGGTTAAAACATTGAGATTTGAACAGCAAGGAAGTGCTGCTTCAGGACAAGCAGCTTTCACTTTGAAAGCAGCAATGTACTGAATGTCCGTTAGAGGTCACTGCAGAGTAATTATTGAAATCCCATTCACACACACTCTCCCCATATAATCTGCTAAAGTAGCAGAGTAGTATATGTAAAAGTCGATTAGGTCTGCAGCTGTAGCAACTGTGATTGAGGATGCATAACGTTCTCCACTGAAGCAGATTGAAAAATACATTGCAGATGCTGAGTTAGGAGAAGGTGCCACATTTTTCATATTTTTTACAGTATTTCATTTTTTTCCTAATAAGGGTTCAGTTGTTTTCTGTAACTTTCATAGTGGAAAGCTTATAACTGAAATATATTTGTTTGACTTAAATATTTGCATAAAGTCTCCGTGTATTTTTAAGCACTGGTACGTACAATTTTTGCTCATAGCTGTAAGAATTAGAAGACACCTATTTTTGTCTTCTTGAAATGTTACATGTTTTCAACAACTTCCGGATTTTTATGCAGAGAAAAAAAAATGTAGATGAATAAAGCTTGTAGAATTAGACAAGCTAATGTTGCCTGAGCTCATTTTGCTCTGTTTACATCACCATGACTAACAACATCCTGTAGTTTATTTTCATCCTCCGAAGAGAGATGGAGCAAGTTTGGTAGCTACATTTCTGGTGAATCAGGCAGGAGCAAGTAAGTGACTTATACCTTGATCCCCAGATGAACTTTGACCTGATTTGCATGGTTCACAATGATATTTAACCTTTTCAGGGCTGAATGTTAGTTGTGACCGATCAACACAGATTTAGACTACCAAGGGGTGCTAAAAAGGTTCTGTAGTGTTCCAAGCGCTTAGTTCAAGTGTCATACTTTTGACCTTAACAGTTACATCTCATTTGGATGGCTGTAATATGCTATCTGGGAGTGTTGCCTTTGGAAACCGTTTGGAAAGTTCAGTGGGTCCAGGATGCTGTAGCTAGGCTCCCGACCATAGCTAGTTATAGGGAAAGCAAGGAATCATTGTTAGAAGAGCTTCATTGGTTATTTACTGGTCTATTTCCAGGCACAATTCAAAGTACTGGTCTTAACACCTAAAAACCCTAAATAGCTTGGGTCCAGGCTCACTCTCCATACCAGCCTTCCCCCAAGGATGATCTTCAGTGGCGGTGGTGGAACTGAAAGTGGTGGCGGAAGGGGGAATCCCAGGTACAGAGGTGCCTTGAGACCCCACTCTGGATCCACTGCCAGAGCCATCTGCTCCGGATCCACCTGTCAAAGCACCAGCACTGCGGCTGCAGCTGTCTTCTCGGGTTTGGCTGTGCGGGGGCGGGGGGCGGAGTAGCGATCTGGCGACTTATAGCTCACATGCCAGTAGAAAGGGCTCTGTGTGCCAGCTGTGGCATGCGTGCCATAGGTTCATCATTGCTGATCTATATCCTGTTAACATAGATATAACAGAAAGGAGCATGGCTTCTGAATGTGCTTTTAGAATGTCAGTAAACACAGATATTTATACGACTTGATATGCAATGAAAAGCCTGGAGTTGTAGAAGAAGTAGGGGCATTAGTCAGTGCAAGCCTTATAGGTAAAAGCAAAATACAAATAAATAATTTTAAAAAGACAAAAAGATGATGGCTTCTTAAATACTATTTTTTTTTTTTAATGTGAGCTTTTGTGGACAAGTCCACTTCTCAAACATAAGAGTAGGGATTTAACATGGCAAATATATATATAAATGGCATCAAAATACATAGTCCCGGAGCACTACCAAGGAATAGGACTGATAAACCATTTACAGTATGAGCACAAGCATACCTAGAAAATATCAACTTGATGCCACTTAATTATTATTAAGCATAATGAAGGATGGCTAGGACACAGCTCCTGAACCTTTTTTAACAGCAGTGAAGAAGGCATTTGAACAGGTGGCAGGTACATGACCACCAGCAACACCTGCTGAAATTGTTATTAAAGTTGTAGACTCACTTTTGGGAAGATAGTTTTGCAGAATTATTTAGTCATCATTCTCCAGGAAGGAATGAGGACTGAACAGCAGCCCATCAGTAATAATCCATCATCACACTGTTTCATTTTAACCCATTAAAAATATCTCAGGTCTACCCTACAGGAGAGTTATATACTAGCTCCGCCTCTCTGTGGGAATTACATAATGTAAGCCCACTTCCCTTTTTGTCTTCTTCTTCTTCTTTAACATTTAACCCCCCAGCATAGGGAAAGTTTTGTCTTTAGAATGGATACTATCTCCAGGCGTCGGAGTTTGAAGGAGGTAAACACACAAAAGCCTTTTCTGCTGAGATTCTTTGGATGACATGGACTTTCTTACCCCAACATTATAGCTGCTTTTAAGCAGGAATGGCTGTAAAATTTTAAAAACTGCTTAAAAACACAGTATTTAGGGACTTGTAGAGGTGATAAAAAAACAATGTACTTTTTGCAATACTCTAATTCCTCAGTCTCTAAATCCTATCAGGATAAATTTAAACTTAATTTTCTCATGAAAGATTAGGTATACAGTAAATGGAACACTACCTATGTAGTTATATAGACTGCAGTATTATTGTTGGATGTTGCTTT